TGGGCTGTGGCAGGTGGAGAAGGAACTGTTTTTGCCTTGAGCCCATCCCACTCACTGGGAGAGTCATCATTCAGTTCTCTTTTTTTTTTTTTTTTGTACCAGGAATCAAACTCAGGGCCTCGAGTTTGCCAGGCAGGTGCTGCACTGCTGAGCTACATCCCTGGCCTCCATCACCCAATTCTAAGGAGCCCATACAGCAGTAAATAGAAAGGGGCCCCTCTGTCCCCATGGGCTTTGCAACTGTCCCCTGACCTTTTTCTTTTTTTTTCCTGTACTGGGGATCAAACTCGACCTTGTGCTTGCCAGGCAGGTGCAGCACTGCTGAGCTACATCCCTGGCCTTTCCCTGACTTTTATTTTGGTACCTTGGGACCTTCCACTTGTGAGGCTGGCGGTGGCACCACTGAGCCAAATCCGTGGCCCATCCCTGGCTTTTTAATATCCTCCCAGGCTGCCATGTCCTGATGGCAGCCTCCTGTGGTATCAGTTGTATTGTTTGTCTGCAGACAGAGGTTTTAGTCTTGAAGGGACAAATGAGGCTGTGTTTGTGTTTGGTCTGGGGACAGTGGAGCTTTTGTGGCCCTGGCAGGCCAAGTGGGCCACAGAATTGGTGTATGTATGGCCAGGGATCCAGAAAGCCACCAAGGAACCTCCTGTGGGTACTACCCGACCTGAAGCCTCGGGCAGCAACTGCAGCAGTGACACAGGCCTTTGAGGTGCACTACATGCCACATCACATTTTCCAGTCTCATCCCTGCCACCAGCACCTCCTGCTCTGTGTGCTCACAGCAGGCTGAGTACAGGCTGAGGTGACCAGGCAGGAGGCCTCAGTGGGCCCTCTGCGGCTACAGGTGGAGGTGTGAACCCATCACCCGGGTCCCCTGGTTGCCAAGGTGTGAGCCAGGTGGTACCTCATCAGAAGTGAAGCCCACAACTGTGAAATGGACACATCTCTGCCCCCCTGGATGGGCTGGAAGGTTGGCTGCACCAGACATCAGCAGGGGTGGTGGGGTATGGAGTCCCAGTGTATTTGAGACCATCCAGAATCATTTTACTATCGTTGGTAGTTTACTGCTAGTCAAGTCTAAGACAGTCTTGTCTGATAGAAACATAAGATCTGTAATGTTGGTTTCTTTTCTTTTCTTTTTCTTTTTTTGATACCAGGGATCGAACTCAGCCCTGGGGCTTCTTTTCTTTTTGATGATGGGCATAGAACCCAGAGCCTCCTATATGCTAGGTAACCACTGTCACTGAGCCTACTGCCAGCCCTTTTCATTTTGAGACAGGGTCTTGATAAATTGCCCAGGCTGGCCTTGAATTCAAAACTTAGCTCAGCTTCCTAAGTAGCTGGGATACAGGTGTGTGCTGCCATGCCTGGTGTGTGTTAAAATTTTTTATGACTTACATTTTAAAAAACAAAAGGATTGCAACCTCTACCACAATCAAAATATACAACTGTTGGGCCGGGGATTTAGCTCAGTGGTTTTGCTGCCTGCTGCGCAAGCGCAAGGACCCGAGTTTGATCCCCGGTACCAAAAAAAGAAAAACATAAACAAAATATACAACTGTTTTTATCAGAAAAAATATTTCTTTGTGCTCCTTTTTTTTTTTTTTGGTACCTGGGATCGAACTCGGGTCTTTGCGCTTTCGAGGCAGGGACCGGAACCACTGAGCTAAATCCCCAGCACCCCCCAAATTTCTTTTTTTTGGTACTGGGGATCGAACTTGGGTCCTTGTTCTTGCGCAGCAGGCAGCGAAACCACTGAGCTAAATCCCCGGCCCCCCTTCTGCCCTTTTACGAATTATTTTATTTTCAGGGCCAGGGATGTAGCTCAGCGGCACCACGGCTGCCTGACAAGCTCAAGGTCCTGAGTTCGATCCCTGGTACCAGGGGGAAAAATTGTATAGACAGAGCCATACTAAGTCACTGAATAGCTCAGACTATCCACAGACCTGTGATCTCCTGCCTCAGCCTCCCAGACTGTTGAGGTCTCATGTGTGTCACCATGCACAGTGCCAGCTTCTTTCTGAGTGCACAGTCTTTGGCCTGTGGGGTGGCAAGTGTTGCTGTGCAGCCAGCCCCAGCTCATGGCCACCTCTCCTCAGATCCATGTCATTGGGGTTGGCTGAGCTGCTGAACTGTCTTGGGGGCGCCCGTGGCAGGCTCGGGGTGTGCTTGGTGCTGGCCACCCCATGAGGGATGTGGTGGTCCTGTGGGCATCCTGTGGCAGCGAGCCAGGGAGGCAGACATGGGCAGGGGTACACACCCTGCCAGCTGTGCTGGTGGCTTCAAGGTGGCAAGTTGGAACAGCACTAGAAATCCAGGAACCACAAGGGCCATCCTCTAGTCCTCTGTGTGTGTGTGTCCTCCTGTTGGGCTTCCTGACCCCAGCCTTGCAATCTCTGTCTCCAGCCTCCCCTGCTCCTGTGGTCTGATTCCTGACAGCACCGAAGACTGAGGGTCTGAGGGTGGAGAATCAGGGCACCAGCCTGCCTGCCTGCCTGCACTCCCAGCAGAGTGTGCACAGCCTCACTGTGCTTGGGGGATGGGGATGGTGCTGGCACTGGCTTCATGGGAGACGACCTGGCACCAGCCCTCTGTGCTGTAACCCTTGGAGATGGCCCTGGCAGGGTTGTATGCAGAGGGTAGGCAGGTTCCCAGGCCTGCCCCAGGTGCTCTTCTCCCTCCTAGGGCACCCTCAGACCTGGCCCACCCATCTGGCCTCTACCACAAGTGGATCAGAAGGTGGGGGAGCCTGGGACTGCAGGGGCCTGGGACTGCATCAGGGCAGACGTTCTGTGGTCTCTTCCCTGTCCAGCTCTTTGGAGATGTGGCTGCATGCTGTTTTGGGAGGTGGCCTCACACCCCAGTCCTCGTGTGTGCAGACCAAAACAGGTGTAACAGCTGACAGTGTTGCCCATCTTGGTGCTGTAGTCAGGAGCCTGGGCGCAGTGTAGCAGGTCCTCTGCACAGTCTTCTTGGCTGGAGTCCAGGGGTCAGGCCCGCTGTGTCTCATCTGGAGGATCCGCTGGGAGGGGTCCACTTGTAACACTGCCGGCCAGTTTGGTTCCTCAGGCTGAGACTGAGGTCTAAAGCCCTTCTGGCCATTGGCTGGTTGCCACTCTTAGTTCCTGGCCACAAGGGCTGAAGCCAGCCATAGCTCGCCAGCTGCTCGTGTTCAGACTTCTGCCCGGCTTAGAGGATCAATGAGTGGTTGCCCAGGGTGGTGGGTGTGATGTGAGGCTTGCCTGGCGAGTGATGAAAACATTCTAGAATTTAATAGTAGCAATAGTTGCACATCTCCATACATATCAAGAACCACTGAGGGCCGGGATTTAGCTCAGTGGTTCTGGCGCCTGCCTTGCAAGCTCAAGGTCCCAAGTTTGATCCCTGGTACAAAAAAAAAAAAAAAGAACCACTGAATTGTATGTTTTAAAATGATGTTCTTCAGCGGGGATTTAGGTCAGTGGTTCTACCCCCTCCCTCACAAGCGCAAGGTCCCGAATTCGATCCCTGGTACAAAAAAAAAATGATGTTTTTCGGTCTGGGGGTGTGGTTCAGTGTTAAGCTCTCACTTAGCATGCACAAGGCCCCAGGTTTCATCCCCAGCACTAAAACAAAAGAAGAAATGGCATTCTTTCTGGTCTGAGTTACATCTCAGCTTTCTTAAAGAGCCTCTGCAAACCAGGAGTTAAGTAGGACGTGGGCAAGAACGTGGCCAGCGATGTGTTGTACCTGGGCTGGACTTTCGGCTGAGCTCTGGATCCGGCCTGCTGAGCCTCGTCAGCCCCCAGCCTCCTGGGATGGACTCCTCCCACTCATGGGGGCATGCTGCCGAAGCCAGACAATATTCTGCTCCCATCGATCTCTGTCTTCCACAGTCCCAGCCCCGCTGAGGATGAGAATGGAGCCTAGCCCCGGCCTCACAGAGCAGCGCGGTCCTGAGAAGGTGGCTGGGAGCACAGAGCAAGAGCCAGCACCGTGGCAAGCCTTCCCTGTGCTGTCTGAGCAGCAGTCTGGGGATGTGGAGCTAGTGCTGGCCTACGCTGCACCCGTCCTTGACAAGCGCCAGACCTCCCGCCTCCTCCGAGAGGTGGCGGCTGCCCACCCGCTGCCTGCACAGCCTCATCTCAAGCGAGTGCGGCCCCGCCCCGACACCCATGGTGCCCCTGAGCTGGAGCTGCTGCTGTGCCTGGCTGGGCCGGCCCCAGGTCCACGCTCGCTGGCTGAGCTGCTTCCTGAGCCCTCTGTGGACCCCCATGGCCTGGGGGCGCCCTTTCTGGTGCCTGTGCCTGCCCGGCCACCCCTCACCAGGGGCCAGTTCGAGGAGGCCCGGGTTCACTGGCCCACATCCTTCCATGAGGACAAGCAGGTGACCAGTGCGCTGGCTGGGCAGCTCTTCTCAGTCCAGGAGCGAGCCGCCATGCAGGGCCACATGGAGCGGGCAGTGTGGGTGGCCCAGCGGGCAGCATCCCAGGGCCTCCGGGCTGTGGGAGCCGTGGTGGTGGATCCCACCTTGGACCATGTGCTGGCCACGGGCCATGACTGCCGTAGTGCCAGCAGCCCCCTGCTGCATGCTGTCATGGTGTGCATCGACCTCGTGGCCCAGGGCCAGGGTCGTGGTGCCCATGACCTCCGCGCCCACCCAGCCTGTGCCTTTTTTCCGGCCCCTGCCACCCAGGCCCGAGCAGGTATTGTGCGCAGGCTGGAGGAAGATGAGGATGAAGACGGCCAGCCCTATGTGTGCACCGGCTACGACCTGTACATCACCCGAGAGCCCTGCGCCATGTGTGCCATGGCCCTCGTGCACTCCCGCATTCGGCGCGTCTTCTATGGGGCCACCTCACCTGATGGTGCCCTGGGTACTCGCTTCCGTGTCCACACCCAACCAGACCTCAATCACCGCTTCCAGGTGTTCCGTGGTATCCTCGAGAAACAGTGTCACCTGCTGGACCCTGACACGTAGGCTTGGTGGCCCCCTGCTTCCAAAATTTCTCTGCTCCTGGCCAGCCTATTGGCCTGATGTTCCCCTGGGAGCTGCCATCCTGTCTGCCAGTTTTAAGGACACTTGCCGCCTGCCTGGGTCGCCCATCTCTTGAGCAAGTGTTGTGAGGGTTCCACCCTAACCCCAGGGCTGGTTCATTGCTTCGGATTCCTCCACAGTGTATCAGGAAATAGCTCTGACATGTGACAATAAACCATTCCTTAGCTCAACCCAACCTGCTGTCCGTTAAGAGGCGCCGGACTCCTGGCTGGGGTCACAGGCTGGGCAGGTCTGTGGGTCAGGCTTGTGATGGGGAGGGGATCTGCTGGGCTGAGTGTGGTCAGGCGCTAAGGAGTGTTTGTGGGGACAGGTACATCTGGATGCTGGCCGTCTGGGGTCGGCTGACCCAGAGGCTCCTTCAGGATCATCCTGTTTACCATCTCTTATGGGTGGCAAGAAGGGACCCCAGAAGGGGCCACCAAGAGTATCACAAGACAGGGCTGGAATTGACAGTGGGAACTTGGAGCAGGGCCTGCTGGTCCCTCTGGCAAATGCCCATTGCTGACCACACCGTGTTGCCTGGTGGCCCTCCGGGCTCAGAGGGGAAGTGTTGCCTGGTGGCCCCACATCCGGCCTGTGATAGCTGAGCCAGCAGCTGAGCTGGGGCAGCCTTTCTGGCAGAAGCTCGATGTGTTGCGGCCGAATAGGGCTTTCTGGTCACAGAGGGCCCCCACCGAGGGCAGCCCCAGCCCATAGCTGGGTGTCAGAACCCCCGGTGGCCAAAGGGTCCCTGATGTCCTGTCTCCTTTCAGGTGGCTGCAGGCTTCAGCCCAGACTCCAGGTCAGCCAAAGCGGAAATGTCTGGTGAGTCCAACGGGGACTGCCATAGCTAAGGGTCTGCTGTGTCTCTGGGAGGCATCCCCAGGCAGGGAGGGATGCAGCAGTTCTCACGTGGGTTCTCAGCCTGTGACATGTTGTCATGTGGCCTGCACCCTGGCCTGCCTTTGCCAGCCTACTGGCCAGCTCTGCATAGCAGCACTTCGGGCACCACGGTTTGGCTTACATGTGTTCTTATCTGCAAAGCTGCCATGTCAGGAAGCTGGTGACAGGGCCATGGATTCGTGTGTATCTTCTGGCTTGGGAATGATGGAGGGTCAAGTAACACAAGATAGCCTTGGAGAAGAACCCAGGGGACCCAAGGGCTGCACAGGCTCCTCCACAGCTGCCATAATGCCTCCTGCCCTCTTGTCCTCCCCCCAATCTTCACACCACTCCTGGACCTGCAGGGTACTCAGCTCAGGGTCTTTGCAGTGGCTGTGCCCATGACCTTAAGTCTTCTGGCCTCCCCTCCCCACCCCGGCAGACACCACCCTGGAGCCGCCTCACTGATCTCGTTCTAGTAGTTTCCATCCTGTAAGCAGTAGTTATATAGGGTATGTGTTTGCTGGTATCATTAGTTGAGGCCTTACTAGAGTGAGGTACCATAATCCAGTGATGAATCTCGGTAAGAAAGGAAATTTGGACACTGACATATGGGGAGGGCAGAGACTAGGGCGGTGTGGCCACGAGCTGAGGGACCCCAGAGCCACGGAGGCTGGAAGAGGCAGGAAGGGCCTCCCTGGAGCTGCAGAGGGAGCTCGGCTGGACATAGACCTGGGCCTTGGACTTCTGGACTCTTTAGCAGAGGGTAAATTCCTGAGGTTTCAAGCCATTGGCATTTTGAGTCTTTGCTCTAGAAGCCTCGTGAACTGTTAATATTCCGCTTGCTGGACACTTTGGGAGTGTATGTGAGTGTCCTGCAGTTGTGGTGAGGAATCACTAGAAAATAACAACAACAAAAAAGAAAATAACAAACTCATCACACACTTAGTGGCTTGAAACAAAATTTAAGTCAGGCACAGTGGCCCACACCTTTCATCCCAGCTATTCAGGAGGCTGAGGCAGGAGGATTGAAAGTTCAAGGCCAGCCTGAGCAACATGGCAAGATCTTGTCTCAAAATTTAAAAATAAGAAAAGGACTGGGGATGTAGTTCGGTGAGCTCAGTGACACAGCGGCTGCCTGGCAAGGGCAAGGTCCTAAGTTTGATCCCTGTTACTGGGCTTGTGTAGCTTAATGGTAAAGCGCTTGCCTAGGATGAGAGGCCCTGGACTTAATCCCCAGTACTCCCCCCAAAAAATTTAAATATTTTCCCTTTTAGGGTCTGGGGGTGAGAAGTCTCAAATGAGTCTCACTGGGCTGAGTCCAGGTGTGGGAGGCAGGGCTGCTCCTCCCAAGGCTCTGGGGAGAACCTAGATTCCCCCACCCCTAGAGGTACCCACAGCCTCTGTTCTCAGCCCCCTGCTCTCAGCCCCTTCTTCCGTCAGGGGCTGCTCCAGCCAGCAGTAGATTGTCTTCCCTCACTCTCTGCCTCTAACCCTCCCGTGCCCTCTCCTGAGTGACACTGGTAGTCCAGCTACAGAGTACCTTCTGCTGTGGGAGGTGACAGGTCCTCAGGCTCAGGGTGGGGATGGGGACACCCTGAGGCAGCAAGTAACAGCCCTGACCTGGGGTTTTTTTCCCTGCAGGGAAGGAGAACAACTTTCCGCCGCTGCCTAGGTTCATCCCACTGAAGCCCTGCTTCTACCAAGACTTCTCTGATGAGATTCCCATCGAGCACCAGGTGCTGGTGAAGAGGATCTACCGGCTTTGGATGTGTGAGCCCTGGGCGTGGGGCTGCCGGGGTGGGACACCAGTGCAGGCCCACTGGACCCGGGGAGTGGTCGCTTGGAGCTACCTGGTCCTCATGCACCCCATCTGTCCTGAGGCAGGAGAATGCAGGGACAGGGACCCTCAGGAGCCCTCTGTGCATCCTGAGCCCATCTCTGGCCCACTGTGGCCCCCATGGTGACTGGGGCCACATCCTGAGCTGGTCTGCTACTTGGCCTCACCCAGCTCCTCATGGGGTCCCTCATTGTCCCCAGAGACCAGGAGGTGACCCTCAGGCCTGGCCAGCATCCTCAGTGGCCATACCCTTCAGCACCTGGCTCAGCCTCTTCTCGCTCAGCCTCTTCTCCCTCACCCCACCAGTTTACTGTGTCACCCTTGGGGTCAACCTTGTCGCCTGCCTGGCCTGGTGGATCGGCAGTGGTCAGGGAGCCAACTTTGGTCTGGCCTTCGTCTGGCTGCTGCTGTTCACCCCCTGCAGCTACGTGTGCTGGTTCCGACCTGCCTACAAGGCCTTCCGGTAAGTTGGAGGGAGCCAACCTGGCCCTGGCCTTGTCCCACCTGCTCCCTAGGAGCTCTGGATGCCTGTGGTGCTGAGGGTGTGCGCAGAACCTGGGCGAGCAAGTCACCACTGCATGTGCACTGGTCCTGGCGCCGTCTGACCCGTGCACAGGGAGCCAGGCCTGGTCTGCACTGGGTGTGCCCCAGTTATTAGCAGCTGTTCCACTTTGGGTGGTAGCTGACTACAGCCCATGGGTCAGATTCAGCTTCTGCATGTTCTGTTTTGTGTTTTAGTGGTCCCTATAGTACTGGGGATTGAACCCAGGGTTTTCACACTGAGCTATATCCCCAGGGTCTCTGTATGTGCTCTGTAAGTGTAAGTTCAAGTTGGGCTCGAACTTGTGATCCTTTTGCCTTAGCCTCTCCAAGTGCTGGGATGACAGCTGTTTGCCACCGCTCTTGGCTTCTGTTTTGTTTTTGGTTTTTTTTCATATTTCAGAGACTTAGTTGATTTATTTATAATTTCTATATATCAAGCTTGTGTATTTATCAAAGTGGGAAGGGAAGAAGGATTGCAAACATTTTCAGAATGAATTTACAAGTAACTATTGTAAAGGTTATTTAATAAAATTGTATTTTTTTTTTTGTTCTTTTTGGTGCCGAGGATCGAATGCGAATCCTTCCACTTGTGCAGCAGGCGGCAAAACCACTGAGCCAAATCCCCGGCCCCTAAAATTGTATATGTTTTTTAAAAAATGTCATTCCAACTTAGGAGGCTGCACAGATGAAATGTCAGGTGTTCTGTTTTGGTTTTTTAGAGTGACATTTATTGGTACATTTTAGATATACATAATGATAACATTCATCACAGGAAAATTTGTACTGGTACATGATATATCTTGCTTCTTTTTTTTTCCCATCGCCCCCCATGTATAAAAGTTTTGTTTCCATTTTTTCCTTTGAATTTTTCCCCCTTCTTTCCTTTCCTCTTCCCCCTTCCCTTGTTCCCCTTCTCATTTGAACATTTTCTTCCCATATCCCCAGTATCTATTACACATCTTAGTCCTTATTTCTATTTTCAGTTTCTCACACCAGAGAAACAATGTGGTATTTAAACATGTGTGTCCAGGGCCGGGGATTTAGCTCAGGGGTTCTGGTGCCTGACGCGCAAGCACAAGGACCCAAGTTCGATCCCCAGTACCAAAAAAAAAAAATACAAAACAAATAAACGTGTGTCCAATTTATTTCACTTAGGAGTATGGTCTCAAGGTCTGTCCATTTAGCTATAAATGTCTCAAGCTCATCTTTCTTTGTGGCAGAGCAGTACTCCATTTTATTAAAAAGAAAAAAAAACATATCTTCTTTATTCATTCATCAGTTGATAGGCGTTTGGGCTGTTTCTAAGATTTAGCTATTATGGGCTGGGGATTTAGCTCAGTGGTTTCGGCGCCTGCTATGCAAGGGCAAAGACCCGAGTTTGATCCCCGGTACCAAACAAACAAAAAGGATTTAGCTATTACGAATTATGCCACTGTAACCATGGGAATGCATATATTGTGTTATGATGCTTTTAATTCTTTTGGGAAGATACTAGGGGGAAGAGCTGGGTGGAATGGAACCTCTAGTTTTATTGTTTTGAGGAATCTCCATATTGATTTCCATAGTGCTTGCACCAGTTTACACTCCCACCAACAGTGGAGAAGGGTTCCTTTTTCCCCACAGCCTCACTAGCATTTATTATTGGTTGATTTCTTTCTTCTTCTTTTTTTTTTTTTGGTATTGGGAATTGAACTCAGGACCTTGCACTTGTGAGGCACGTGGCACCACCACTGAGCTAAATCTCCAGCCTGGGTTGATTTCTCGATAACAGCCATTCTTTCTGGAGTGAGACAGAATCTCAGCGTTGTTTTAATTTGCATCTCTCAAATAGCCAGTGATGTTAAACATTTTTTATAAATCTATTTGGTGTTTCTACTTCTTCACCTGAGAAGTGTCTACACTTCAGATGTCCATTTTTGGATAGGGTCTTTAAATCTGGGGTGTCTGTTTTGTATTTCAGTAGCAACTTTGGTGAGATTTTCTTCACATCCCACAGTTCACCTACTTAAAGTGGACAACTTAGTGTTTTAGTACATTCACAGGGTTGTCCAGCCACTGTTATTAGCTATTTCTAAAACACTCTCATCACCCCGAAGGAAGCCACATCTATACCCATAAGCAGTCCCCCATCACCTCCCCAAGCCCAGTACCCCTAGAGTCCACTTCCTGTCTCTGGATTTGCCTGTCCTGGGCGTTTCCTGTCCACGGAGCCCACACTGTGTCCTCTGTTCCTGGCATCTCTCACTGAGCACTACTGTGTCCTCAAGGTCCTTCCACACTGTGGCGAGCGTCACAACCTCATTCCTTTCAATGGCTTCTTCAGGAAACACACTAAACCAGTGTGACCATGTACAGTCCACTGTGCTCTTGTGGCCTGGCAGGGCTGGTACAGGTATGGGTATGTGGGGGTAAACACCAGGTAGCAGCAGGGATCTGCCTCTCACCAGTCCAGGATTTTTTAGGGAGTAGATTTGGTGACAGGGCCTTACTGTGTAGTCCAGGCTGGCCTGGAACTCATTGTGTAGCCCGAGCTGGCCCTGAACTCAAAGCAATCCTCCTGCCTCAGCTTTCCGAGTGCTAGGATTATTGGCATACATCACCACACCTGGGTAGTCAAAGTTTTTGAAAGTTCCAGGGACACCAGGACCCTCAGGTCCAGCTGGGCAGCCTCCCCCTCGGTCTCAGGACATCCTGCTGCCCCAATGTGTAACTCCGGCCACTCCCCACCTCTGCTATGGCCCCACACAGCCCTGCCCCAGCCTGACCCTCCCATCCTGAGGCCAGGTGGGCTCATTGTGGCCCCAGCAGCATGGTACAATCAGCAAGAGCTATGTGTCCATCCATCTATCCTTCGATTAACACTGGGGCTCTCTTCACTCTTGCCCATAATGAGTCATGGACATTTACCCTCAGCTTCCCACCCTGTCGCTCAGTTCTGTGTCGTGTTCACCCCTAGACTGTCCCTGAACTGCAGACTAAGTTGGGAAGGAGACTGAGGCCCTCCCCGAGATGTAAGACATGAATTACAAGGGCCACAGGGAACAGGAAGGAAGCAGGGAGGGGAATAGCCCTGGGCACCTGGAAGCTCTGTGCCTCCCTGCTGTCCCCACCAGGACCTCTCCAGGGAAAAGGGGTCTCCCAGTGAAGGCCCCAGGGGCTGTGCTGTCCTTCTAGTAGTGCAGTGTTGGTGCTGCATTCAGAGCCCAGTTTGAGCACAGGTTCAGTGACTCATGGGAGTCTGCATTTTCCAGTGTACGGGGAAAGTAGGACAATCGTTCTACCCTCCGGCTTGCACCTTCCTGTTGGGAGTGTCAGGCTTTCATCAGTTTTTTTGTGTCCCCCACAGAGCTGACAGCTCCTTCAATTTTATGGCATTCTTCTTCATCTTCGGAGCCCAGTTTGTCCTGACTGTCATCCAGGCTATTGGCTTCCCGGGATGGGGCGCATGGTAAGCTCCATGTTGGGCTGCCTTGGAGGGTTGTGTGTTAACTGTGGAAACAGACTGGGGTGCAGCTCAGTATGAAACCCCTGGGTTCAATCCCTCATATAGAAAACAACATTATAGGAGTTGTGTGTCTGTATGTGTGTTCACGTGCCAGTGCAGCTGTGTGCTCTTGTAAACAGACCCTGAGCATACAACCCAGAGGGCTTTGGTCTTGGGGTGAGGGTGACTCAGGCCCCTGGTGGCACCTCGCTGCCTCAGCATGGGGCATCTGCACCAGAGGGGAGAAGAGGTTCACATGTGCGCCATAGCCTGGGGGGAACTGGAAAGTGTGGCACAACCCAGTGCCTTGAGAAGGTGCTGCCTGTCACATGGTCCTTGGGGGAAGTGCTCTTGTGGTGGGCAGTGCCCCTTTGAGATCTCTGGGGCTGGTGGAACAAATGACCACAAACCTTGAACTAAAACAAATGACTGAGCTCAGGTCTGGAGGTCCTGGCTCCTAGAGGCACCCGCAGCCTTTGGCTCTTGGTCCCATCCTCCATCTGCAGAGCAGGCAGTGTGGTGTCTTCAGCTTCTCTCTGCCTCTCACCCTCTCTCACCCTTTCAGGGGGACCCTGAGAGACACTGGGCCCCGGATGGTCCTGAATGACCCCATCTTCAGAGTCCCTTTGGCCCTGGAGGTGACGTTGCCGCAGGCCCCAGGGATAAGAACATGAGCACCTTTAGGGAGCTGTCACTCAGCTGGCCCAGGTGGCATCTTTGGCGCTTGGTATCCCTTGGTGTGATGCATGAGTTCAGCCTCACTGAGGTTCCCTTCTGTGTCCCATGGGCACTGCCTCACTAGGGGGCTTTCTTTTTTTTTCTTTCTTTTTCAGTATTGGGGATTGAACTCAGGGCCTTTACACTGAGCTATGTCCCCGCCCTTTTATATTTTTTATTTTGAGACAGGGTCTTCCTAAGTTGCTTAGTGGCTCAGGCTGGGCTGAAGCTTACACTTCTGCCTCGGCCTCCCAGAGTGTTGGGGTGACAGGTGTGCACCACCACACCCAGCTTCTGTGGGGTTTTCTCGTGTTGTGTCTACCACGTGACCAGCAGGTTTCTCACTCTGCCTGTTCCCCATGGCCACTTTCCCTGCCATGGTTCTTTCTTGCATCCTATTGCTGCTTTCCTCTGACTCCTGGGGACACTACTGGACCTGCCACCCTCCTCAGGATTAGCTGTTTGCTTTTTTTTGGTACTGGGGATTAAACTCAGGACCTTGCGCTTGTGAGGCAGGTGGCAGAACCACTGAGCTAAATCCCTGGCCAGCTGTTTGCTTTTGAGCTATGGTTTTCAATGCTGGGGGCGGAACCCAGGGACTCAAGTGTGCTAAGCAGGTGCTCAGCCTTACATTGCTCTTCAGTGTGTTTGACTCTTGAGTCCAGTAAGCTCCCAGACCCCACTCCCCACGGGCAGGAGTTTGCAAGGGCCCCACATGCAGGCCTCGTCCCACCCTCCTGCCCCTGCCACGGATGTCCATGTCTCTCCCTAGCACCACTGGAATGCGGCAGCTTGCTCATTCCTCCCTGAGTCCTCAGTAACAAAGGTGGCCTGGGGCATGTTACTGTGGCTCTGATGGAGAATCCTGAGAGCAATGGGCCTCACTACTGGGCATGGTCAGGAGGCAGCAGCTGCACCCTGCTGTTCAGAGCCACCAGTGGCTATGGCTTCTTTTCATAGCCCTTGGTGCCCAGTGGGCCCTTGGGCTGCTGGGCTCTGCTCAGCTGCCCAGGCCTCTGGTCCCTCCTTCCCTGCCCCGCTCTGGTGTCTCCTTGACTCCCTGAGTGGAGTGGACAGGGCAGGCTGGTGCTGGTCACCCGTGGTGGCTGGGGCCCAGCACGTGTGAGTACCTGTCATGGAGGCCTGGAGAGGCGTTTCCGTCCTCCCTCCCTGCATGCCAGAGATACCAGCCACCCAGCTCTGCTTCTGCCAAAGCATTGGCTGTTTCTGAGGGATGGGGCAGGTGGTCACCACCCGAGCTGGACAGGGTGGACACACAGTCTTAGCTTTGGAGTAAAGACAGTCCCCAGCCTCTTAGCCGATGGAGAAAGCATGTCACAGGGCACAGTGCTGTGCACCGTTGGCTGAGGGCACCCATACCTGGAGCACTGCATGGGGCGGAGCAGGACAGCCCCTCATCCCTGGGGCCCTTAGCCAGCACTCCTGCCTGGGTGGTCCCGGTCAGGGTCATGGGCCACAGCTGGAGCCCTGGGGATTGGAAACAGCCCAGTAAATGACACTGGGGGCCTGGCTGCTGTATGGCCAGGTGGCCACAGGTGTGGCCAAACAGTCCCCTGTGGCCCTGCCCAGAAGTGCAATGGAGGACAGGGCTAGGCACTCCCTAAGATCTCTGCCACCCTTTTGTAAGTTCAAAATCATTCCAGAATAGATGTTTACTTTTTTAAATAAAGAAAGGAACAGCAAAACTCCATGGAAACTGCGGATGCGCTGCCATGGCATACTCTGAGCAGCATCAAGGAGGCTGGGGACAGTCAGAGCAGGAGAGGCTGGGGAACCCGGGGAGGGGTTGGTGCCATGTGTATGTGCAGAGAGCATGCACTGAGCTACATCTCCAGCCTTTGGGACTTAAACTTGTTGGTGTTTGGGGGGGGGGGGGTTGGTACCGGGAATCGAACTCGGGACCTTGCGCTTGCAAGGCAGGTGCCGGAACCACTGAGCTAAATCCCTGGCCCAGGACTTAAACTTGTGATCCTCCTGCCTCAGCCTTCTCGGTGCTGGACCTTCTTATCTTCAATGTCTCCTTGCTGCCCCACTGTGCAAGAGTGCATCATCCCCAGCCTTGGACGCCTGGGCTATTCTCGGTTTCTCATGGTTACTGACAATCGCTGTAGCATAGATCTGCAGGGGCAGCATACATGGGGTGAAAGAAGTGAGTGTCTGAGTCTTTTGAGTCTTTCACTCCTACAAAGCATGACGAATGGGGCCACACTGCTTCCTCCATTCCCTCCCACATGGGCTCGCCAGTGTTGGGGGAAGAGGATGCCTTCCTTGGTGGTCTGAGTGTCTTCATGGGTGTGTCCTCAAATGACTGTCCCTTCTTCCCGTGATGTGTCAGATCTGTGCATGTGAGGACGCCAGGTAAGCCCGCGTTCTTTCGCCCTGCAGTGGCTGGCTGGCAGCCATCGGGTTCTTTGGGACCAGTGTCGGCGCTGCCGTGGTCATGCTGCTCCCCGCCATCATGTTTTCACTGTCAGCTGCCATGATGGCCGTCGTGATCCTGAAGGTGAGTTCTGGGAGGTCCCATCTGCCTTCCCTCCTCTCTCCTTGTAACTCCAAGTGGCCAAGGTCAGGGAGACCAGGCAAAGGTTCCAGGATCGTCTCCTAGGGACACCCCCCAAAGATGGACAGTGACAACACACACGAGATGTCACTGGAGCTCACAGAGACTCAGCGTCCGGGGGCTGCGTGGCAGGGGCATGTGGCCCCTCTGCCCAGCACTCGTCAGCCTCCCAGCCTCCCAGACTCCAGCAGAGAGCAGGGCTCAGCAGAAACCCCATGGTTTGCACCAATGGTTGAGGCCAAGGGGCTTCTCTCCTCTGAGCACCTCGAGGGCCAGGCCCACGACCACACAGCCTCAAGCCTGCAGAGTGTCTCTGCACCACACCGTCTCGGAGAGACAGGCTGGGAAAGGCGGCAGGGCTGGTAGGGAGTGAGCATCCCTGGGAAGAGATCAGTCTGCAGCCTGGTGCTCCCAAATTAAGAGCCGCAGGTACCCCTACAGCTGGTGTACATGTGTGTCCTGTGCCAGGCCTGGCCAAGGGACTGTCCAGGTCACACTCCCCATGTGCCCTGCAGTGGTGACTTGGCGTGTGATTACCACCTCACAAATGAGAGCTGCCCACAGCTGGGCGGCGATGCCCAGCAGAGCTAGAGGAGGAGTGGAGGTGCTCAGCAGGGGAGGCAGGGAGCTCAGCCACTGGAGGCAGAGCTGAGCCAGGGCTGCAGGTGTTAGAGGAGGCAGAATGAGAAGGGGTCAGATTCACACAGGGCTTTTCTGAGGACCCGACTTGGATTGCCTGCATTTCCTGAAGTTTCATTAGTAATGAACTCCAGGACAGCCTGTGCCTGTGTCCTCATGTCCTAGAGGCTGGGATCTGCAGTGAGTGGGCAGTGCTGCCTAGGTCAGGGCCACCCTGTGACCCCGTGGTCCACCACATGCCCAGCACAGGACAGGAAATGTCTGCTGTCCACCCCACCATGTTGAGGGGCATCCTGGAGCTAGCGATGTGCAGTGAGGGGTGTTGTGCAGTGCCTGTGGCCCAGAGCTGAGGTGTCCTGTGATGGAGGACCCTGTATGTCCCCATCCCAAGCACCCTGTTGTCATGGGTCTCCTCTTGAAGAAGATATGGGGAGGAAGCCCCCAGGCTCACACACCCTCTGAGGTGTCCTGTCCTTGCTGCAGGTGCACAGGATCTACCGTGGGGCTGGTGGAAGCTTCCAGAAGGCACAGACAGAGTGGAACACAGGTGCCTGGAGGGACCCGCCATCGAGGGAAGCCCAGTTTAACAACTTCTCAGGGAACAGCCTCCCTGAGTATCCCACTGTACCCAACTATCCGGCCAGCGGCAGCCAGTGGCCTTAGAGGGGGCTGACCAGCCCTGCCACCTCCCCACCTGCCTGCCGTCACTGCCCCTCTGCTCCTGCTGCTCTGGTCCTGTGAGGCCTGAGCATTTGTCCTGCCCTCCTTGGAGGCCCAGCCACTGCCAGAGCCCAAGTTCATCTCATCCTAGGGACTCAAGGCCCTAGCCCCTCATCCTGCAGCCACCTGGTGTTCCCTATGGGCAGCCACACCTTCACCTTCAGGTCACAGAGGGTGGCAGCAGGTTGGGTGTGCCGTCTCCAAAGAACTGAGGATGCAGGGGTCATAATGCCAAGCTTTGCGTCATGTCCTCAACCCACCTGTTGCCTGGGTTGGCAGAGGGGCTGAGCGTCCCCCATCCCACATATAGCGATGACTCCATGGACGGGGTTGCAGGGACAGCAGAGGCGGGTCCACTGCCTCACCAGTGACCTGTGCTGCTCCCTGTCTGCCGGGCTTCCTTCCTGCACTCCTCCCCCTGGGACGGCGATGTTGGGACCCTGTTGTCCTGCATTTCCATCTGTGGCAGACAGCCTTCCTCTCCTGGGACCAAGGTCCCCTCCACAAGATCTCTGTCTGCATCCTGAAAACTGGCCGAGCCCCTGGGCAGGTGCTTGTCCTGATTCTTGAGAGCAGCTTGTCTCAGCCATACAGAGGAGAATGACCCAGAGGTCCCTGTCCTTAGAAGCCAGACGGAGAGAGCCTCCTCCTGGATCTTTGGGTGCAGAGCCATGAGGATGTCCTTCCCCCCACCCGGAAGGGGACAGCCCTGTGCCTTAGAGAGGAATATCACAGCCAACACTACTTACTGTCTCTGCTCCTCTAGCCTTGTCCCTGTCAGAAGAGCCAGGCACATCCTGCGGGGCATCCGCAGCACCTTTAATGATATTTGGGCCAAAATCAACTTTTTTCCATGACCTTTCCATGCTGCTGGCCAGGCCTTCACAGGCCTTCCACACCCAGCTGCCCATCCCTGGAGGTCACACTAACCAGCATGGGAAACTTCAGGGGAGGTGGAGACCTGGGGTCACCGGGCCTAGGGTCCCTGCCAACACCTCAAGGTGGCATCTCAGCCTGACTGTAGGGCACTGGGGCAGTGGAGCCCCTTGGGCCACCAGCAGCCCCCACCCGACCCCCACATGTGCATGGTCACAGTGCGGTGGGTTTTGTTAGCTGAAAATGTTCTGGAAATAAATCCTTTCTGCATTGGAGCAAGCGGGGGCTGGGTCTGTAGTGTGTGTTGTGCCCCCCAGCCATCCATTGGTCAGAGGGTCCCAGCACACATGGCCAGTGTCTGGTCATCAGGGTGGCACTTTGGTACCCTCTCCATGCCAACACCCTGTGGTCACCCTTGCTATGGAGCCCATGGATTCGGCCTCAGCCAATACCAAGCCCCAGATTCAGCCACCAGGGGGCGCTTGTGGATCCCATCAGACCAGGAGCCCCACTCTGCTCCCCCATAGCTCCCTGATGCCCCCAGCACAGAATCCTGGTGTCATCCCAGCTGCTTGGGAGGCTGAGGCAGGAGGAATGCAAGTATGAGCCCAACCTGGACACTTAGTGAGCTCCTCTTTCAGAATAAAAAGGGCTGGGGATGCTCAGTGGCACTGTGCCTGCCTGCCATCCACAAGGTCCTGAGTTTGATCCCTGGTACCAAAAAAACAAAAAAGAATCCCAACTCCTGTGGCCATGTCCCCACTCTCCCCGCACTGGTCTCTTCTGTCCCCAGCCACTATCCCCACAGAGCTCTACCAGAAGCCCTCACTGCAGCCCCAGGTCAGTCCCTAAAAGGGTGCCAGGTTCCATCATCATTCCTGTATGGCCCTGAAGAACTTGGTGCTGGAACAAGGAAGCTGACACCATTACACCACCTCGCTTAGTAGATGGGGAAACTGAGGCAGAAGTCCACCCTGCCCAGTGGCACAGCTGCTCTGCCTGTGCTCAGAACTCACCCTCACCTGTGACTGTTCTCTACCCCTACCCCCACCACAGCTCTTTGCCTGGTTCCCAACTCCCAGGGGCCAGGGATTTAGCTCAGTGGTTCTGCTGCCTGCCTCGAAAGCACAAAGTCCCGAGTTCAATCCCTGATAGCAAAAAAAAAAAACCCAACTCCCAGATTCTGAGAGACCCCACCCACTCTGACCCCCAGGGTACCTCCCCTGAGCGGAAAGCACTGAGGGCTTTGCACTGAGCTGTATACCCAGCCCTTTTTTTCTTTTCTCAGTACCAGGGATCAAACTCAGGATCTTGTGCTTACCAGGCAAGTGTAGCGCCACTGTGCTACATACCCAGCCCCAGCCCTTTTTATTTTTTATTTTGAGACCAGGTCTTGCTAAGTTGCCCAGTCTGGGCTCGAACTTGCAATCCTCCTGCCTCAGCCTCCCACAGTGCTGAGATGACAGGCATGTGCCATCACACTTGGCTCTGACTTTATTTCGGCCACATGAAAGTTGCAGGACACTCCGGCCCCCAGGATGGACGTGACATCTCAGGCAGGATGGCAGGACGTGGGGTTCTGAGTGTCCATGACCCCTTGGAACCCAAGGAACAAGGAAGGGCGAGACAAAGAGGGGCGGGCCCTGCCTAGGTGTCTCACCATAAGACAGATGACTGACAGATGATACTGCTGCCACAGCCAGACCCTCAGGGTAGGGACTTACACATGGTGATCAAACCCTCCAGCCCCTCCCTGTTCACTTTTTCACTGTGCTGGGGCCAGAACTAGAGAGGGGCCAGCGGGCACCAAGCCAAGCTCTGGGGTCTCAGGCTGCCTCCTGGTGACATCATCCAGAGGATTGTCTGCGTTCCACGCCATCTCAGCTGGGGTGGTCACAGCACCTGCCCTTTTGTAAAGGATACCACCTCTGCACGAGAGGCCCCTGGTATCCCCAGCACTGGCCTGGAGGGACAGTTGCAAGCTGTGAACCTTCGGGAGGAAACACATCACTGCTTCTGTGATCCCAGCTATGAAGGAGGCTGAGACAAGCAAATTACAAGTTTGAACCCAGCCTGGGCAACTTAGCGATTTAGTGAAGCCCTGTCTCAAAAGTAAAAAGGGCTGGAGATGGAGCTCATGTGAAGGCCCTGGCTTCAATCCCAGTGCCCCAAAACAAAATCCCCACAGGAACTCGCCATTCTAGCGCCTTTCTAGACTTTGCAGAATGAGTTCCCAGAGTAAGTTCCCAACCCAGGGCCTAGGAATGCCAGGGACCCCAGGCCTCCTCCATGCAACTGTCAGTCCCCTGTGGGTAGGAGAGGAAACTGAGGCACAGCAGTGACCATCCCCAGCGAGGACATCAGGAAGCAGAAGTAGGGTCTGGGCCACCTGCCCGCTCCCCTGCTGCCACCTGGGCTCTGTGCTGGGGAACCCCCATAGGATCTGTCGGGCCTCCTTCCAGGAGGGCAAAATGATTCACTGGCCCTGAGCCACATGTCAGGAATGTTGGGCCACGCAGAGTGGCTGGAACATGCTGTTCTGACCACCTCTGTGCCCTGATGTCTTTGCACCAGATGGGCCTCATCTGCCCAAAGGACACCTCTACATCCTGGGCTGCCACATTCTGTGGAAGGCTGCCCAGGACTGTGCAGCCCAGCTACTGCCCTGGCCTGGCTTATTCCCAGTCCCTTGTCACCTTAGGCTGTAAGAATGAAGTGGTTGGTTTATTAGTATTTTACTTTTTCCACTGCTGCAGATGGAACCCAGGGTCTGGCATGTGCTAGGTAAGTGCTCACCACTGAGCCACACCTCAGCCCTTTGAAAATTTTATTTTGGGGGCCAGGGATTTAGCTCAGTGGTTCCACTGCCTGCCTCACAAGTGCAAGGTCCCAAGTTCAATCCCCGGTACCAACAAGAAAAACATTTATTTTGAAACGATCTTGTTGATTTGCTGAGTTGCCCAGGCTGGCTTGATCTTGGGATCCTCCTGTCTCAGCCTCCAGAGTAACTGGCATGACAGATACGTGCCACAAAACTTTGAATGGATGCTTTGATAGGCATTTTAAGTGTACCCTCAAGTGCAGGTCACCAGGCCATGCGACAGGCAGAGGTGGTTGTGAGTGGACTCAGGGACGGTCTTTGTGACTCTCATGTCCTGATGGTCACCACTTTCTGGGTCCTTCCCCCAGAAGTATGGTGGAGGCTCTGACCAAAGGTGACAGATGCCCCTCCAGGGTCACATACATGGCCTTCAGGGACAAATGCCCCCTCTCCTGCTTCCTTGAAGAAGTAAGATGCCCAGAGTTTGGCCACAAAACCAACCTCTTGCTGGGTGCGGTGGCACATGCCTGTCATCCCAGCACTCTGGGAGGCTGAGGCAGGAGGGTCACAAGTTCAAGCCCAACCTGGGTGATTTAGTGAGACCCTGTCTAAAAATAAAAAAGGGCTGGATTCAATCCTCAGTCAGTGGAGGGGGGGATTACCCAGTCTGTGAGATTCAGCTATTAGCAACAGAAAACAAACTAAGGGGGGTTGAGGGGGCAGGTCAGTGGTGAGTGCTTGCCTAGCTTGCATGATACACTGGGGTTCACTGCTGGCACCAAGAAAAGAAAAGCAAAAAGGAATGAGGTAATATTGGCCAACCCCCAGCTACAGGGCTGGGGCAAGTTTGCTGGGGTTTTTATGTTTTTGGGGTTTTTTTTTTTTTTTGGTACCAGGGATCAAACTCCAGACCTTGTGCTTGTGAAGCAGGTGCCGGCACCACTGAGCTAAATCCCCAGCCTTGCTGTGTTTTGTTTTGATGGAACTGGGGACTTGAACTCACCTTCGCACTGAGCTACGTCCCCAGCCCTTTTTGGAAGTTTTATTTTGAGACTAAGTCACTAAATTGCCCAGGCTGGATTTAAACTCAATATCCTCCTGCCTCAGCCTCCCAGAGTGTGGGGTGACAGGTGTGCACCACCACTCTGCACTCAGGCTGGGTAAGCTTTTAAAATTTATTTTAGTGGGGGTTTTTTGTTTTTGTTTTTTGGGACATGGTCTTACCACGTAGTTCAGACTGACCTTGAATGAAACCCCATTTCAAAAAACAAAACAAAAAAGATGTATTATGTACAGGTGCAAATTCCCTATGATGAATGTGATCTATATGTATGACAAATATGTACTAATACAAAAAGATTTAAAAAAAATAAAAGTGCTGGAGATCTTGCTCAGTGCAACCCAGTAGAACATTTCTGGGTCCCATTCCAAGTATAGTACTGTAAATAAATAAATAAATAAATAAATAAATAAATAGACTTACAGTGATTCCCCTGCCTCAGCCTCCCAAATGCTGGGATTACTGTTATGTGCCACCATGCCCAACTAAGCAGAATTTTTTTTTTTTTTGGTACTGGGGATCGAACTCGGGTCCTTGTGCTTGCACAGCAGGCAGCGAAACCACTGAGCTAAATCTCCGGCCCCAGGAGAAATTTTAGTATACACTCAAAGAAATAGATTGTGGGTGAGAGAGAGAGACTGACACAGACAGTCAGACCACACGTGTTTGTGTGTCTCTTCTGCTCTCTCTTTTTTCTTTCTTTTGGTGCTGGAGATGGAACCCAGGACCTCTCACATGCTAGCAAAATGCTCACCACTGAGCTGCACCCCTACGTGGAAATCATGTCTGGCCTCAAACTCACTATGCAGTCCAGGCTGACCTCACTGACACCTGCCTCAGCCTCCTGAGTGCCGGAATTCCATGTGCATGGTACTACCCCTGGCTGAAATTGTGTCTACTGACACACCAGCTCTAGAAATATCACCTTTTCCTCAGTGTTTTGATGTTGGTGACACATGTCCTCCCCTCGGCTGGGTGTAGATGCCACCTCTGCCAGGCTGAGGCACTGTTGGCTTCACACAGAGCTTGTGGGGGGGGGTCTGCTCTCTTCTGCTGAGCCTTCGTCAGTTTCCTGTGCTCTGTACACCTTGTCCTCTGGGGGCTGCCTTCCACAGCTGGCCTCGGTGACAGGGGACATAGGAGAGATCTTGGTTACTTCCTGGATTTTTTTCATCACCACTATGTGAGGCTGGGGACAAGTGAGCAGAATGATTCCCTGGAGGCCTGTGGTTGGTGAAATATCCCCAAAGAAAGTTAAACCCTAGCCTGGTGTGGTGGTACACACCTGTCATCCCAGCACTCTGGGAAGCTGAGGCAGGAGAATCATAAGTTCAATGAGCAGCCTGGGCAGCTTAGTGAGACCATGACTTCAAAACAAAAAATAAAAGGGCAGGAGGT